CATCACAGCTCACAGCAACCTCCAACTCCTGGACTCAAGCGAGTCTCCTGCCTTTGCCTCCCAAGCAGCTGGGACAACAGGCGCCTGCCACAATGCCCAGCTATTTTTTGGTTGCAGCTGTCATTGTTGTTTGGTGGCCCCTAGCTGGATTCGAACCCACCACCTCAGGTGCATGTGGCTAGTGCCTCAGCCGCCTGAGCCACAGGCACTGAGCCACCTTCGCATTTTATTATTGGTATTTGTAATTGCAAAGTATATCTATGATGGCTGCTTTAAAATCTTTGTTAGATAATTCTAATCCATATCATCAGTCTAGCTGGCATCTGTTGGTTTGCTTTTCTCATTCTGAGAATGTTCCTGGTTAATTGTATGATAAGTAATTTTCTATTGTATCTAAGACACTTTGGGTTCTGTGTTTTAAGACTCTAAATCTTATCAGTGTCTTATTTTCAGAGATCACCTCTGACACTGCACCACTGGAGGTATTTTAGAGGTGTATCGAATTCTCTAGAAAAACAGACCACTAGGATATTTATCTATCTACCTATGAATGGGAGGGCATTTGTATTAGAATTGGATCACACAATTATGGAGGCTGTGAAGCCCCACAAAGGCCACCTACAAGCTGCAGGAGACCTTGGGTTGCCAGTGGCATGGCTCAGTCCAAGTTCAAAAGCATCAGAACCAAAAAAGCTGATGTAATTCTCAATCTGAGGCCGAACAACTGAGGACCCAGGGGCCAGCAGGGTTTAATTACTGGCATAAAAAGCCCAGAGAGCCTGGAGTTCTAATGTCCAAGGTTAAGAAAAGAATGCCTACCAGTTTTAGGGAAAAGAAAGAGAAAATTACCTTTTCTCTCCCAACTTTGTTCTGAGTCCTTAGCTAACTAGACGATACCAGCCCACATTAAGAGTATATCTTCCACACTCAGTTCATGGACTCAAAAGCAGTCTCCTCTATCTCCTCTAGAAATACTATCACACACACCTCCAGATATAATGCTTTACCAGTTCTTAGATATTCTTTAATCCAAGCAAGTTGAAACTAAAAATTAATCACCGCAGGAGAATGCTTTATCAATATTGTCAGGTGGGTTCAATTTTCAACTCTGCACTCGTGGTTCTCAACCTTCCTAATGCCATGGCCCTTTAATACAGTTCCTGTGGGTCTTGACCCACAGGTTGAGAACCACTGCTGTATTAACTAGGAGGGAAAGGAAAGGTTCATAACTGTGGGTTAGGGGATGGATTTCAGGTTCCTCCCTAGAACTCTGATGGGGGGGTGAAAGGCGCCTCATTACTGCATCTCTCCCAGACTTCACTTGTCTCTTTCTCCTTTATGATCTGGCTGTATATCCTTACTAAGCCTTTGGAATAAATCTTAGCTATGAACACAATTGTATGTCAATTCCTAAGACTTCTAGCAAATCTCCAAATATGTAGTTTTTTAGTTTTTTTTTGAGACAGAATCTCACTTTGTCACCCTTGGTAGAGTGCTGTGGTGTCACAGCTCACAGCAACCTCAAACTCTTGAGCTCAAGGGATTCTCTTGCCTCAGCTGCCCCAGTAGCTGGGACTAAAGGTGTCTGCCACAACATCTGGCTTTTTTTTTTTTTTTAATAGAGACAGGATCTTATAAAAGACCTCTGCTCAGGGTGGTCTCGAACTCATGAACTCAAGCAATCCATCCACCTTGGCCTCCCAGAGGGCTAGGATTACAGGCATGACCCACCATGCCCAGCCTCCAAATATATAGTTTGAGGGTGATGTTAAGGACTCTGACACTGCCCCAAATTGAAAATTACTCATTGTCCAAGAGCCAAAAGGTATAAGTTGTGGTATATTCCTGCAAGAAAACACTATATAGCATTGAAAATGAGTAACTTACACTTAGGGACTGAGTCTCATAAACAATGTCACTTTACTACATTTTGCCTAATAAGAAAATTGTTTCTTTTATATTAAAATGAGAAACCTTTTAAGGCAGCAGTTGTTAAACTTTTTGGTCTCAGAACCCCTCTAATTTATGTGGGTTATTTCTATTGATATTCACAATATCATAATTTAAAATAGAAAAATTAAAAAGTATTTACAGAATCCATTTCAACCCATCATATATTAAAATAAATAATATTTAGAAAAAAAAACATAACTGCACTGGCTCAAACTGAAGTGCGATAAAAAAGAATTATATTTTCTTTTCTTTCTTTTTTCTTTTTCTGCCCTGGGCAGAGTGCTGTCGCATCACAGCTCACAGCAACCTCCAACTCCTGGGCTCAAGCGATTCTCCTGCCTCTGCCTCCCAAGTAGCTGGGACTACAGGCACCTGCCACCACCTGGCTATTTTTTGGTTGCAGCAGTCATTGTTGTTTGGCAGGCTTGAGCCACAGGCGCCGAGCCAGAATTATATTTTCTAAGAGAAATATACTGGCTCAGTGCCTGTAGCTCAGAGGCTAGGGTGCCAGCCACATACAACAGAACTGGTGGGTTTGAACCCAGTGCAGGCCTGCCAAACAATGACAACTACAACCAAAAAAATAGCTGGGCATTGCGGCGGGCACCTATAGTCTCAGGTGCTTGGGAGGTTGAGGCAAGAGAATTGCTTAAGCCCAAGAGTTTGAGGTTGCTGTGAGCTGTGACACTACAGCACTCTATCAACGGTAACACAGTGAGACTCTGTCTCAAAAAAAAGAAAACGAAAAAAGAAAAAAAGAAATATACTAAGAATGACACTATTTCACAATAATAGAAGATAGCTGGATTCTGCTACCTGCTTCTACATTTAATCTGTTGCAATATCACATGCTAGGCAGCCTGTAGAAAATCCCACTGTATACTCAAGAATAAGAGTAAAGGCTTGGCACCTGTAGCTCAGTAGTTAGGGCGCTGGCCACATACACCAGGGCTGGTGGGCTTGAAACCCCCCAGGGCCTGCTAAAACAACAACGACAACTACAACAAAAAAACAGTCAGGCATTAAGGTGGGCACCGGTAGTCCCAGCTACTTGGGAGGCTGAGGCAAGAGAATCACTGGAGCCCAAGTTTGAGATTGCTGTGAGCTTTTGACGCCACAGCACTCTACTGAGGGCAACATAGTGAGACTCCACCTCAAAAAAAAAGAGAATAAGAGTAAAAAATGCATATAATATTGTAGTATTATTCTGAAAACAGTTTTGACCTTTTAGAGCCCTACAAAGGATCTTGATGAATCCCTGGGGTCTCTGGATTATACTTTGAGAATTGTGACTTTAAAGACTGGTATTATGATTCATTTTCTTATCACATAAAGATGGGCTAACATGCAGGAAGGAGCATTGGATGCTTTTATTGGAGGTAAATCTTAAAAGAATTTTTTTTGCGGTTTTTGGCCAGCGTCAGGTTTGAACCCGCCACCTCCAATATATGGAGCCATCGCCCTACTCCTTTGAGCCACAGGCACCGCCCTTAAAAGAAATTTTTATTAGAAATATTGGGAACTGGCACAACTTCCCTTATATTAAACCCTACACAATTGTCAATGTCAGAAAAATCACTCCTTTAATACCACAAGTTCAGCACACTCAGTACAGAAAGAAAAATTATGTATACCTTGCAAATTCTAAAGAAACTGTATATGCATAAGGAGCTAAGCAATATAATCCTTATGATACAATTTACACGAAGAAATACATAATTTTATACATTATTATTCTGAAAATTAAACTTGCTACTTCTCTATTCTCTTTAGTTTAAAAACTATGTACCACACATGGTATATATTAAATTTTAAAATCTTGCATTAACTTGGCTGGACCCAGAAGGCCTGCTGAAACCATTTTTACACAAATCCAAAGTGGCTTATTGTAATTAAATCAACACCTGAAACAATTAAACATTACAGGTTTTATTTCTTTGATAGACACTGTTGTTAGGAAATCTAAAATTTAACAGTTTTATACAAGTTATACAATAACTAATCCAGTGTGTAGAATGCACCATTCCTATAGGTTTGAGAATAAGCAAAAATATCCACTTCTCTGCTAGCTTTGGCTCCGAGCCACATACTCAGGAAGATGTCAACAGTGATCCTGTACTTACCACCAATGCTAGAACAAGAGTCCGCACCTTCTCCCCAATCTCAGGTGAGATGTCATTGCCAAACTGTTGCAGAGTAGTGAGAAAGCGTTTCAACTTGCTGAGCTGCCGAGCTCCACAAGTGGCTGGCAACTGCTGGTTTGTTAGTGCAGATGATGTGGAAGAGGCAGGACCATTGCTGAATCTCTGTGGTGGTGATGGGGCACCATTCAGGGTAGGAGGAGAATGGTTGATTCCATTGCTTACTAAAAAAAGCCAAAATGAAAGACTCAGGTTTTTTGTTGTTGTTGTTGTTGTTGAGACAGAGTCCCTCCCACCCTATGCTCTGAGCAGAGTGCAATGGCATCATAGCTCACTTGCAACCTCAGACTCGGGCTGTGGGCATCCCAAAGCTGCTGGGGTTACAGGCACTCACTGTGGCCCCCGGCTGGGTTTTTCCATTTTTTTAGGAGTCGCGGTCTCACTCTGAGGACTTTTATAAGTTTTTTTTCTTTTCTTTTTCTTTTTTTTTTTTTGAGACAGAGCCTCAAACTGTCCCCCTGGGTGGAGTGCCGTGACATCACAGCTCACACAACCTCTAACTCCTGGGCTCAAGTGAGTCTCCTGCCTCAGCCTCCCAAGTAGCTGGGACCACAGGTGCCC